AAAAAAAAAGTGAAATATGTGAAATATGACCTGGCTGTGACAGCAAGTTTGCCTCTCTGCAGTTTTACTTGTATCTTGTATATACTCTGATTGTATATATTGTGCATATACATATACATCATAACATATATATACTAAATGATATTGTATATAGTGTGTATATAGCATATTTAAATTACTGCCTTTTCTTCCCCTGAAAAAAACCTAAGCCTATGTCTGTCCTGCTTTCTGAGGGTGGCCCCAGGCTTCTGGACCTCAGCTGAAATGGGAAGCTAAAGAGCAGACAAAATCCTGCTTGCTCAGCCTCAGTGGCAGACAGGCAGACCCCAGCAGCAGGCCAGAGCAAGCCTTGCTCACAGCCGTGCCAGGGATCTTCTCCAGAGCCCATAGCCATTCTCCAAAAGCTGGTCATTGGCATAAGCCTGTGAACGTATCGCAAAGATGGGTGGTTTTCAATCTAGTATTTAATGGAACAGTCAGATAAGTGTTTCCCTTGTATGAGGTACCTGTCATATTGCGTGTTAACTCACTTAGCCTTTACAAAAACTTCATACTGGAATATCAGAATTCAGTGTAGTTGCAGAATCAAAGGTGGACCCAAGCAATAAATTGACCCTTGGCTGCAGCAGCAGGCTTCTCATTGCACTCCCAGTTCAGTCCTCAAAAGCTTTTGGAAGCAGGTGAACATGTATGGCACACCTATGCCCTGTGCTCAGCATCCCCCGTAGAAATACTGCGATTAGTCAGGACAGTGTTGCTCTTGCCAGGGTTCAGTTCATCACAGGGGAGCCCTCTGCATGCAAAACCCTTGGACATGAAATATGCTATTGCTGGTAAATCTTGTGAGCGTGTCTGGCCATGATGAGTGGTTTTTTTTAAGTAATAAAAACTTGTAATTAGTAGCTAGAGGTTGTATAAGAGGAAATTGATATGTTAACTTGTAACACTTAAAATGCATAATAATTATATTGTTTAAAAAAAAAATCCATGCACGACAAGGATGGCAAGGTTGTATAGCAAATAAGAAACAGTATTGAATATTTGTGTGGCAAACCCTGTTGGGTTTTTCTGCATGAAATTAACTCTGACAAACCCATGTTTCAAGAATCTTTACTGTATAAAATTATTCAAAGGTACAACGTTTCTGCCTCACAATACCTTTCTTAATACTGTAAATGACAAGCGTTTTAAATAACTTGGAGACTGTGGTGCCATCAGAGATGGGGAGCTCATCCCCTTGTTATCCTGTGATTGCTGGTGTGCCTCCTGCTGAGCAGGCAGCTCTCAGAGACATCTCTGGAGGAAGCACTGTCTCCAGCTCAATCAATGCAATCTATTAAAGCTCTTTGAGGAGGCGGCTTTTTGTCAAGTTTTGCCCTTGATGAAAGGGTGACTGTAATGCCAGTGGCACAGGAATAGCTGGAGCCCATTTGTACTTTTGTTTTCAAACAGTTTAAAGGGAAGAAGCCTCCTGCGACTGCTAATGGGATCACCGGAAAAGGGAGAACTTTAAATAACCAGCCAAAGAAATCTGAATCGGTGTCATGTGTGAAACGCACTGCATCCAGTAAGTGTCTCTCCTCACTGCTGCCTCACTTGTGAGTGGAGTCATGAGGGTACCCAAAATAGCTGTCTTCTTAGCAAACAAGATAACCATTGTGGTTCTTCTGTGGCTGAGGGGCTGAGCAGCAGATGCCCACCAAGACTTTGAATAGAAGAATTGTGTGCATTGGTGACTCATTAGTACTCCAGCCATGCCACGAGATAAAAGGTTGTTATAAGGAGAATGATAAATATGAAATGTGGACCCGTGGCTGCAAAGTCATGAGGGCAACAGGAAAATTTAAAAAAAAAAAAAAAGAAAAAGAAAAAAAAAGAAAAAAAAATTATTCTTCATTTGGGGCAGAGAGTAATTCTGTATTCCTGTTCGAAGAGGAGGATGAGGAGCTGGGAAAGACATGAGAACATTATGTCAGTCAAAAGTGGACTTACTCTTACCACTAATGAAAAAGGTATAACAAAGTAATGAAGACAACCACACAGCTCAAAAGCTTCCTTTCAGAGAGGTGATTTCAATCGGTCAGTGGCATGTTCAGAAAGAGGGTTCTTCTGGGCAGATGGATTCCCTCTAGGAAATCTCTAACAGGGATTGCTTTGTGTAAAGAAGAAAAGACTAAAAAGAGTTGTAATAATATTTTTTGAATATAGAGTCAAAAGCATGGTTTCTTCTGGAGAAGGAATGAATGTGTTTTTTTTAATCCCATGATAAATTTTTACAAAGCCATGGATTTAAGGGCAACAAGAGAAATTTGGGTTAAACTTTAGGAAAAAAGTATGTATCTTTCTAACCATGCAGGTCAATTGGTACTGCAATAGATAGTTGTGAAAGTAAAGGCATCTCAGTTACTAAAGACCGACTAAAACTCGTTTGACAGCTATTTGTCAGGAATGATTTAGTGTGTTGAGTTTGCCTTCAGATATGCAGACAGAAAAAGTGATCTGTTCGCTGACCTGTTTTCTTTGAGTCTGCAACTGGAGCAGAGGTATAGAGAGGGATGTGATAAAAATTAGACCACAGATATATGTGAGCCATGAAATTCAAGCATTTTTATGGGAAATTAAAAAAAATAAAAAAGAAAAAGAAAATTCTTAAGTATCAAAAAAGTGAGAACATCTTTGTATTCTCTTATGTCAGGTGAGGAAAGACACATGCTTTAAGCACTTGAAATAGGAATGGAAACCAGGCAAGAGAGCAATCAGGTAGTTTTTCCTCTGACCCCTTCCAATTAAAAATCAAGGGTTCAGAGCTAAAGAGAAGCCTCTTTTCCTTCCTCTGAACTACACAGAAAGGCAAGGCCATTTTTCAAAACCAATGTAGTATAAGGTAACTGGTATTTCTCATCTTCCCAGTATAAATGGAGAGAACAAGCTATCTATCCCATATCATTTCCGTATCTGTGCTGCAGAACTCTGTGGGCATCATGGACCTTGAGAAAAAGCCAGCAGGAAAAGGATGGCAAACCAGTTTCTCAAACAATGACATGCTTTGTGTGATGTTCAGTCTCGGGGAATAGTTTAGAGTTTTACTGTTTATTTTAACCATAAATAACTACAATCCAATACATACAGATGCAGAGCAGTACAAATATGGTAAAAACCGTGTGGAGGCAGATGCAAAGAGGTTACAAAGCAAAGAGGAGGAGCTGCTAAAGAAGAAAGAAGCACTCCGGAATAGGCTGGCACAGCTCCGAAAAGAAAGAAAAGATCTACGTGCTGCCATTGAAGTCAATGCTGGTATGAGGTGCTTTTCTTGTGCTGAATTCTGCCCTGGGTAGGCTTAAGTACACAAATAGCTTTGTATTCTGTCCTGAAGACATGCTACTACATGAGGTTTGGTTTTGATGTTAAACAATACTCTAATGTCCATATTTGCTTTCTAGATAGAGATAAAATATATACCATAAATACCTACATATTTATACTATATATATTTATAGGTGCATATACTTAGTTTATATATGTGTGTGTATATATATATATACACACACACACATCTCCCTATGAAATGATGGGGACTTCAGAAAAGCAGAACATGGGAATAATTTTATTATGGCTGGGTAATTATATTTTCATGACATGGAAAAATAACAAAATACTGATTTGAAACTAGACTAGAAACCTAGGGAAATCACCTAAAAGACAGCATTTGATTTCTGTTGCTAAACTTTTTACATTAAAAAAAGTGCATTTTGCAAAGTACATAACTTTTTTCTGATGTGACTGATTTTTAGAGACCTTGTTCCTTACTTTTTTTCTAAAAAGAAAATAATTTCTGTAAGGGTCAATTTAAGCTGCTTATCAAAATAATAACATTGCTTTGACTGACAGGCAGGAAAACCCAAGTGATTCTTGAAGACAAATTAAAGAAGTTGGAAGAGGAGTGTAAGCAGAAGGAGGCTGAGCGTGTAAACCTGGAGCTGGAATTGACTGAGGTGAAGGAGAGCCTTAAGAAAGCCTTGGCTGGTGGCATCACGCTGGGCTTGGCTATTGAGCCCAAGTCAGGAACATCAAGCCCACAGGTATGCAAAGCCATTAAACACACAAATCCCAGTACCATGGGAGCGCTCTGCCTTCTCAGTTGCAGTAAAATAAGTGGGAACTGAGAGTTTTCAAAAGGTGTATTAAGCCCAGGAAGTAAAAGCAGAACTAAATGCTTTTCTGCATTATTTGCATTCTTCAGCTACATCTGGTGTAATTTCTACAGGAACGGGGAGCAGGCAGACATGGGAATCGCAGGCAGTGTATGTTATGATAATGCGCAAAAGCTGACACCTCATTGTCGTCAGTGATTGCAAAAGTGCATGAGCTGAAACACTGCTCCATCCCAGGGAGATTTAAATGCACTAAGTCATCGTGCATGGATGCATCGATGGAGAGCTACTTGTGCTGGTCCCCTATCAGCCACTGTCACTCTTTGCAAGGGCTGCATCTCACACTTTCACAATGGAGCATGGTAGTCCTGGCTTATGCTATAGAGCTGTGTCAGAAGCAGCCATCAGACAGACCAGAGAGGGATGTGTCAGTTCCTCTGGATGACCTGATGTTGTTTAATCAACAGAAACAGTGTTCAATTTTCATCACAGAACACACACTTTGCCTTTTTTTTTTTTTGTTCTAACCTCTTCTTCATTTGTCCATTATTATTATGAATATGGTTTCTTTAAAAAAAATTCTGCAGTTCTAAGTCTAGATAGAAAATATTGTCCATGTGACTACTTGGAGGAAACTTAATGTGGGCTTTTCACTCTTAATTAGTCTCCAATTTTCAAGCACCGAACTTTGGAAAACTCTCCAATCTCCAGTTGTGATACCAGTGATACTGAATGCTCAATACCTGTGAACAGCGCAGCAGCTCTGAAGCGACCTCCCTCGTCAAATAATTCTCCGTGTCGAGGCCACGTCCTTCGAAAAGCAAAGGTGAGAAGACTTTGTCTAGTTTTCTTTTTCGGTCCTTTTTCTTACTTTCTTAAAAAATCTGACTTACTTGTGGAGAGACAGAGACAGAAAAGGAGAGAGGGAAAGATTGGTTCCTGCTGCTTCTGTGGGTGAAATTTAGCCTGAAGAGAATGTGCCATATCTTAATTATTTGTATTACTATGAAAGTACTGCTGATTATGGGAAACCTTTTGCAGAAGAATTGGTAAGTAGTTTGGGAGACAGATTTGATTGTACTCTCTCATTCCAGGTTTATACATTCAGTTTGCAAGGTAAGTGGTCTGTGGTGTAGACAGTGCATCTAAAATTCATAAAGTTACACTACTCTGTGTAGCAGAGGAGTGGTTAAAAGAGCACTGTTAGAGTAAATGTTCTGAAACAACAAAAGAGTTGGTCTGATCTTTGCCAGCTGGTGCAAGAACAGAATAGTTGTATATTATTGTAATCGACAATGAAGTGTTGTGCAAGTATCTACGCTTAATGTACACTTAAAGTAGAAACGGAAATAATTTAATTCAGTCTTGCAAGTACCAGGATGAAGTTTGTGGTCCTGTTGTATTGTTACAGTTGTCTAATTTTTGTGCTTTAGTTTAAATGTGATTTGCCTGAACATTCCTCTGGGCTGAATTTGCTAGCAACATAAGCATGTGGGCAGCCCGTAACCAAGGGTGACAGTGATAGAGAGCATTGGCCCAAGCTTTTGTTGATTTAGTAGCTCACTGCCAATTGTAATTATAAACAATAATGAACAGACATTTATCTTTCATTCAGTCCATTTATTTTTTCAGAACCACAAAGTATTCTCTACAGAGATTTTTTAAAGTAACTTTTGTTACATGTCTTCATTGATCAGGTACATTTACAGTGACTGAGCATGAACCTGGCACCTAAATTTAGTAGGTACTGAAAAACCATAATCTCAACAAATTATTTGGTTTTCTGGCACATCATAATTTCTGTTTCCACCTCCCCCAGCCCCTTCAACCTCCCTACATTGCCCAGGCCATTAATTACTTCTCCAGCTACACCTTTTGTGTGAGCTTTCTCACCTTTTTTCTCCCACCATTTCCTCCATCCTTTACATGGACATCAACTGCTTTTTCTGCCAGTTAGCTTGATTCATTTAAATTCAGCTAAGAATAATTAAACTTGGCATAATAGGTTTCATTCTATTTAACTTTGAATTTTGCTGCCTGTATTTCAAACCCAAAGAAGGATTTGTGTGCTCTGTGTCTTCCAATTTTACCCTAATTTGACTCATAAAGATATCATCTCTAACTATACACCATGTCTTGGATTTGCAAGTTTGGACAGTGTTACTGAGGGAATATGGTCTAGCAGAGCATGGTCCTTACAAAAGGGAGCATGGATTTGTGTTATAGGCTGGACAGGCACACTAAAGCCAGCCGTTTAATCTTTACAGCTGGAGAAGCCAGGGCACTATAAAAACCTTAATTTATTTGGTGTAAAGAATACCTTCCAGCTGTAGTTGGTATATGTTCAGCATATACCATACAGGAAAAACCCTGCTGTGTTGTTTGATATCGATGTGCTTTGGATGGCATGATACATTGGTCAAGCTCTTCTGTAGAGGAATCTTGGGTATAAGATTAGCCTAATCAGAAAGGATATGGAGCTACTAAGCATATTTCCCATCCTGAGAAAAACAACTCAAAGTATCCAATTCAGCTTTAGCAGCTTTTTCCTAAAAACCTCATGCACTAAATATGAAGAGTGAAATTTTGCTGAATTAGATCGTGCAACCCAAGCTGTACTGAGCCCGTTCGCAAGGAGCTGCAGCCAAAGGCTGCGATCAGGTATGCATCTGCAGCACACCCCGCTTTCGGGGGGGCTGAACTGTACATGTGCGAGGGTGGAATTTGGCTCTCAATTCTTTTGGCCTTTTGCAGTTGCAAGTGAGCCCAGGCCTCAAAGATGTGGCTAAGGAAAGGGCATAGCACGTGAGTATCCCAGAGCAGACTTACTTGGCTCTGCACGCATGGATGTCAGTGCAATATGTGGGAGTGAAGCAGATTTCACGTCTGTGCTTGCGCTTGCACCTTCAGCAACTGGCAAAACTCCCAATGTTATGAGGGAGTTGTATAAGTGTTCAAAATGTCAGATTATTTTTTTTCCCTAGTATGTATGTGAATGCACTGAATGCCTCCCTTCTTGCTCTTTCCCCGCACAAGGGATGCTGAGTCTGTCACTAGCCAGCCTTGTGCTTGCAGCCACCCTCATGTCACCGTCGTGCTCCCGAGCCTGCAGCACTGCACCGCTCTCTGCTCGGGCAGCTGCTGCTGGGAAAGGCGTGGGCTGGGCAGCTGCTCTGCCAGGGCTGTGTGGCACAGGGATGCCTCGGAGGGGAGGCGAGGCACCTGAGACCGCAGGTTTGAAAGCTGCTTAACCAAAATCTCTCTCCTCCCAGATGCACTTACATGAGAAGGAAATAGAGAGAAGCAAGAGCACAGATGTGGCAGCAGTTTGGGGACTGACTGTATGACATACACTATAAATATGCATGTACATATGCATTCAGATATTTGGATGTTTTAACTTTTCTGCTTGTAACATATGCTTTTAATTTTTTTAGAAAGCAATAATGCATATTTTTAAGAAGTCAGAAGCATTTTAATTGTGATTTTGTTAATCTCTACTTGGCTATAAATGGAGACTGTACTAAAATGTGGAAAACAATATTCTGCATTAGCATTCCTAGAGAAGTGAAATGGTCCAAATATCAATGCTGTACAAGAAAAACAATTATTTAAACATTTCACTTTTCAAATGAATTTCTAAAACTAAATTGTTATGTGTAGCAAGGAAACTGCAATGATTATTTCTGATCTGTTATCAAAACTGGTGGACTGGTGAATGTCAGCAGCTTGCATTTTGCTTACATCCAGGGACTGGGGAAGAAAAGGAGCTCTCCCAGCTTCCCAGCTCCCAGTCAGTGTTGACTTAAACATTCTTTCATTGGCATGAACCTGCTGGAGGACTGGAAACAAACAAAAAGTTCCTTTTGCACCTGCGAAAGAAGCTACTGCTTTCAAGGCTTATTTAACACTTTAAAAATAATGTGCCTCCCAGTTGCTTAGCCAAGGACTTCCTTTACAGCTTTGGTAGCATACACATAGGGAATATACATTTAATAGCCTTTTAAAAGTAACCTAGTTTTTACCAATACTGTGTTTTAAGTTTAGGTTTACTATAATTTGAAGTGTAAAACTGAATATTTAAAATATATTGCATTTTAGTAAAAGCACCATTTAAATGAAAAAAAAAATAACCCACAAGATAAAGAAAAAGAATAAATTATTGGCTACCTTCTTTAAACCCAAGATTTTTTTGTTATATTGCTAAAGCAGCCACCAACTGCAACCTTTACTGTTGCTTTACAATGGTTGAGGAGATATCACGGTCATGCAGCTGTTTAACCAAACTAACACTATTACTGCTTTCAGCAGCAGAAACAGCTATTTACATGGATAAGTAACGGTTTTCAGTCAGAGCTCTCAAATGTTGTGGAATGAGTGTTAAATTCAGGAATTCAGGTTGGGAGCCAAGTCAGCAGGCTGCCTGCAGAGTATCTCTGCAGAGTCAATGGGTGGGAGAGGAATCTGCAGACCCCTGTGCCTGGCTAGCAACAGCTGGGCGGTTGCTCCATGGGGATTACTTCAGCGAGAGGCCAGCTCCTTTGGATCTTCATTATTTTATGATCACTGAAAGGGTGTGATTCTGGGAGTAGGTGCAGGATGGATGTCCTAGGACAAGCCCATTCATCTTCAACTCTTCTGCTGCCCAAGAGCCACAAGTCTGATTTAAGTGGGTGTTTTTCTGTCGGAATCTCATGATTTTCACTTACATGACAGAAGAAATGGCGATACCTTGCTCTGGGATATATGGATGAAAGCGTTGTAGATTATCTGTTCTGCTGTGGATGGTAGGTGTCATTGTCCTCAGCTAACAGGTGAAGTGATTTCTTTAACTTGCCAAGCAATAGCTCAACTTGGATTATGTATAATACGGGCAACAAATGCAAAGAAAACTAGCTTGTTTTTCTTTATCCTGCCTGTAAGTCTCTTTGCCTCAGTATGTTGTTCTTTTTAGACATAGAAACACGTCTGTCGTGAGTTTTATAATAAAAAAATTAAGAGTTGTAAAGCAATCACTTGGTGTTAGCTATGAGAGACATTGAGTGCTTCCTGCTGTGTCATGCAAGTAAGCTAGAAAGCTCTATATGTTAAACCAGCATCTCCTGTATTCAGCTCCAGATGAGTGCTTTACACCAACTGCGGTGTGCAAATTTGCTCCAGATACTCTTTGCAGAAAAAAAACATGGCTTATTTGCACTGCATTAGAAAAAACATTGCCGTATGTAGTTGCAGAGGGGCAGAAGCTGCGCACAGACGCTTTCAGGACATACTTGTTAGCATTCCCTAACTAATTTGTGGGCAGAAGCCTGGATCCAGCGGAGTTAATGGAAAAACTGTTACTGACCTCAGCTGGCTTTCGCTTAGCAGATCTGATGACATCAGTGAAATATCCTGATTACTCTAACATTTTCTGTATCTTTTTATTTTCCCCTTCCAGGAATGGGAGATGAAAAATGGAACATAAATATAGCAAAACCACTCACTTTCCATAAAGGCCTTACCTATTATGGACCAAGACATAGGCTGCAAAAGACTCATCTGAAAGGTGGTATCAGGCGATACAACATAAGAGGTTTTATAATTCTGTTAAGTTAATGGTAGCTTGGCGCTAATTTGCGTGTATTCCCTCTACTGTATTGCTGTGTAACTACGTGTGCCCCTTTTTTTTAGCTGTAACTCTTTGTTTCCAACTTCACTGGTAAAGAAAATGAAAACCAAAAAAACCAAACCAACCATAGTAATTAAAAAGGAGCATAAAGTTGCAGTTGAAAGTTTACTTCGCTGAAACAGCATAGACCACCAACGTTACTCATATCACATCAGATGGCCCGAACACCACTGAAGACTGGTGCGTTAAGACCGATAAGAAGTATTCTTCCAGGTTAAAATGGACTTTGTGAGCTCTGCCACAGAGGTGGCTGAGTGAAGTCTTGCTCATTAGCAGTCACTTTGCTGTTAGCTGTTCACATGGCAAAAGACAAGTGAAGAAATTTATTCAGAGAAGTGGCATGACTTGCTTGGCTGGGAAGGCAGGAGCTCTTCAGTGCCACTGTCCTCCTCTACAGTGGTGCAAGACCATGGGATGACATGACCCAGCTGTGAAGCATTTTTTGGATACTATTTAGACAGATGCTTTTGTCATTGGGAGATAAAAAGCTGCCATACTTTGAAAAAAAATGCATTTTAGTACATTATTACTATTCTGAAGCACCAGTTGTTTTCAAAGGTCATGTTGTGGAACTATGATTTGTTCCTGATTTTTTTAAAAGCAAACAGGTATTTTTAGATACTGATTCTTTTCTATACTTTTGGGAAAAAAAAAAAAAAAAAGAACACATATTTGAAATTAATCCTCAACAGATAATGGCAACTCAGAATAGCTTATGCAGTCTTGTTTTGGTTTTTATAATATAGTATTGTTAAACTTAAGTTATAGAACACTGCTGTACTTTTGTCTTTTCAGACCTCAGCTATAATTTTTAAGGAAGATGGACTGAAAAGATGATAGTTTCCAGACTCTTTTATTAATAATTTTACAAAGAATTGGGGATTTTCTCAGACAGGAGTCCATTTCTGTGTACTAATGTCTTGTGTTTTAGTCTGTAAAATTATAGTAGTCTGTTGTTCTTTGTCTCCATCCATGTCACTCCTGAGAACTTACATGCAGCAAATTGCCAACTAAAGTCCTTCAAAATCTCAAGATTGGCTCTAAAAAATCAGGAGAGAGAGAGAGGGGGGAGAAAAAACTCATATAATGAGTTGGATTATTTTAATTTTTTCCCTGTGTTTTTTTTAAGCCTTTGGAGAGCCTTCAATCACATTCTCAAGATTTTTTTTTCTCCTCCACTGTGAGGACTAGAAAATTAATTTAATTAAAAAATTAAAATACTACTCGTACTTTGAGATAATCACAGATGTTAGGGCTGGAGCCCTGATAATTACTTAAGACTTGCAATTAAAACCACAGACACTGGCAATACAGCAGTTATCAAGGATCACATCCCTCTATGGCTCAGCCTACAGTTTGTCTCTTACCTCTAGGAATAGGTGTCTGTAACTCTTGAAGGGCACCCTGGGATTCCCAGCTGAGCTGATGCTAGATGGCTTCCCACAGGAGCTGGTGGGATTTGAAGGCACAGAGCTATCAGAAAGATCTGCTAGCTGATAAGAAACAGGTCCTGTTCCCAAATGCAATTAGTGCCAGAAATCTTATTGACCTCAGCAGAGGCCCAAAGTGAGAAAAGGCTCTGGGCTTCTTGGGACTACGCTTCGTACAAAGTGCTGCAGGAACGCTGATACGGTAGGGAAGCAAGTGTCAGTATGGTTTTCACTGAAATTAGGATTTTTTTAATATTATTTTAGGTCATCTACTTACTAACTCTATAAGTGGAGGGCACATTCTATGCTGTATAACTATGGACTAACCAGTATCAAGTTCCCATAAATATTAGCAGAAACAAATTTGAAGCAAAAGTAAGTCCATTTAGGCTTTTTATTTCAAATTAAGTTATTTATTTGTATATTTCAATAAATATTTAATTTATGTCTGTACATATTTATGATGCAAATTAGGCTTCTAGTCAACATTTGCAACGATGTAACAGTTGCCATTAGGAAGTGGTCCTGCATCAAGTAATGCAGAGTAGTCAAAAGCCAAACCACTTGTCTTATTTAGCTAATATTGGCATTGTATCTTCCACCCCCTGTATCCCATGGAAAAAAAATAAATCCTTGCCAAGGACAGGTTTTAACCCATGCCTGAGATAGAAGTGTGCAAATTTCTGTCCAAGCAAACAGGAATCACGTGGTGCTGAGGCTTTGCACGCAACCCCAGCCCTCGGGATCTATAGTGCCCGCTGCCGCAGGGGCTGCTGGCAAAATCAAGCATCTTTCACTCTTCCTCCAGCAAAGGCTCCATAAAGCCACTACTGTGCCCTCGTCCCCAACCTGGTATGTACTGTAATTGTATGTCTCTAATGTATAAGTACATTCTCTAATGAATAAGTACCATTGCAGTTTGCATTAGTGATGTGTCTATTCTATATAATGTCTAAAATTTTGAAAAGAGAAAAACAAACAAACAACTTGGGAAATAACCTCTCTATAGACCACATTTGGTGCTATGAAATGTACTCTGTTTTCTTGAATAGTACTATTGCTGTACAATTTTTTAATAAAAAGGGACAGAGCTTGTATTTTCACTGTTTTTAGATTTCAAGATCACCAGGCAAAGTCAGCAATAGAGCAGCATGACTTTATTTTAAAGGAAAACTCTTCTATTTTAAACCATTGCATTTCTATGTCTTTTAAGTAAATGTTACACTTGTGCTTCCTCAGCACACTCCTGTTACTGTACCAGGTGCTTTTTTTAATTGTTTTTTTATGGGTGATGCTTTAAAAAAAAAAAAATCATAACTTTGGGGATCAAAGTTTTTTTTTTTAATGAGATGATGTGGCAATTTGATTTTTTAAATGGAGAATACTTAATTTAGTATCAATTTCTGTTAAAGACACATTCAAATTAATTGGCCCAGGCTGTATGTTGTAAGATAATGTTCTCATATTAAGAATGTAATTATTTCCTTATTGTATTTTTTAAAAAACAAAATCATATTTAAAAATCTGTGAAAAAAAAGCATGAAAGAAACATGAAAAAAGTTTTTGTTTTATTTTTGTTATTGGATATGTTGGCAGTGCCCATTATAACTGACTGTAAATATAGTCTTTCTACTGTTTTTCTCAATGTATTTAAGTTTTTTGACACACATTCGTGGAAACTTCTGTTAAAAAAAAAAAAAAAAAAAAGGCCAAAAAAGACCCCCTCCATAAATGTGTGTCTTAGTAGCTTCAACTAACTTTATGCCTTTCTAGTTTATTCTTCAGAAAGTCTTGCAGAGTGTGAAAAAAGACTGGCACCTGGTAGGTGCGACAGATCCAAGATCATTATTAATAAAGGTACATGTCAAAAAATAAGTATTTGCATTGTTGTTTCTTGGTATTTGTCAGTATAATAAGCAGATGGCACCTGAGCAGGACACTTAGAATAGTCCTCCTCAACCAAGTACCATTCTCCCCTGCCAGTCAGTTGAAAAATGCTCAGACAGGTTAGAATGAGTATATTTTTTTTTTAATCAGTTCTGTCCCCATTCAACTGTGCGATGGCCTTCTGCAAATTGAATGCAGTCTGTCTAAATGATAATCTAGGAATGGAAAATGGGCGTTCAGTGTATTCAGAGCTCATAGCAGAAGTTACTGCTTATTGGGTGTTACTGCATCAGTTTGCTTAGATGTCAACCCCACTAATAAATAATGTAAAGCTTTAAAACATTGAAAATTACCCCTATGAAATTAAAGTGGGTCAAAATCAAACTGAGCTAATTATCAGGCTATTTAACTAGGAATATATCAATTCCTTATAGATGGCTGACAGATTAAATTGAGAACTGATAAGCCATAATTACTCCTTGTTGCTTTTTCTAGATTTAGCTCTTGCTCCCATTACACTAAAATTATTACCAAATGTCATGCTTGAATAGAAAATACATTTGATTTTACCAAACTCAGGGAAGCAGTATTATAAAGTAGTCTAATTGGTGTCCTTTCTGTATTCACAGCCTCCTTGATCTCAGGGGAAAAAGGTGGTCAGCATTGTAAAACATGGCATGGTGGTATAACTAGTAAGAATTTTCTCTCAAGCAGACACAGTGGAAACTTTCGTCTGCTTCATCAAAGCTTACAACTCTTCACTGCCTTTTGTCAATGAAAAAGCCTTCAAAAGCAAAGCAAATTATTAGTATTTCTGTAGAGAAAGAAATAATGTCTGTAGAAAAGATACATATAGTACAAGTAGTATAAAAATTATATATGTTATATATAAAGTATAAATTTAGAATAGTTGTACTATGTAATAGAATACATACTATTATTATGATATAATAGTATATATGCAAAAATTAGAAAATTAATACCTTAAGTTACTCAGGCTCATGGCCTGAAAAAGCCTTGAAGAGGATCTTAGTGTTTTTCTATAAGCTACATTTAATATTTGTTCTACACAGGTGCATCCCAAAGGCATTCAGTATAAAAGACCTCTTCAATATGTGACTGACTCCACTGCAGTTCATTCTTGCAGGTGGGCACCCACATTGTAAGCGTCACAGTGCTTTCATGTTAAGTTCTTCTTTTTTTATATACATTTTTTTAAAATGTGTGCATAAGTTGAGCACCATCAGACCCCTAATTACAGTACTTAAGCCCAGGGCTTTATAAAGAAGGGCTCCTTGCTAGAGAATAAATGATGACAAGTGCGACACCATTTTTTGAATGGAGAGGGGAAAAAATCAGGAAACACAGACTTTTACAGCTGTACTAGGCAAATTGACAGATGATACAATGAAGTGAAGAATCAGTGAACAGACTGAGAAATCACTGTACTGGGGGAGAGTCAACACAGGTTTTATACTGGGGTGTCACTGCTCATGAAGTGCTAAGAGGTCTGTTAAGCTGTTAATGAGCATCTAGGAAAAGAACATATTCTGCTTGGATTTCTTCAACACACTTTTGACAAGGTCTGTCACTAATGAGGTTTAAGTAGCTACTACTAAGCACAGAGCTACCAGCTCTGAAGCAGAAAGGTCCAGCTCCACAGTGGATAGAGGCTGGAAGCACATAGTGGGTAGGTGTCCTCGTGTGCTCCCCCCTCTTCCCCTGCCATATTGCTATTGATAAATGCAGTTGGTTTCTTTCATAAAAGACTATTTAAATTTGCTCACCAGCGGTTACAAAAACATTCTCTCCTATAAAATGATGTATCATATTCTTTTCAGCTTAATTTTTAAAGAAAGCATCTATCTTAAGATCAAGATAATGCAATGTCAGTCCTTCACGATATATTAGATAACTGAAATAATTAAATTACATCAAGGATAT